TATCATCAATCATTATAAAATCAGGACATGGCACAGTAGGACAGGGTGTAGACTCAAACATCTGCCTCTAATCCAGCTTTTAATTGAAAACGTCTGATTGAAAATTAGAATGATGTAAATTGATGCTATCAGTGTCCCTGATACACATAAAAAATTTAGAAAACCTCTTTACAATCTCTTTAACAAGAACCACAGACATCTGATTGAAAATTAGAATGATATAAATTGATGCTATCAGTGTCTCTGATACACATAAAAAATTTAGAAAACCTCTTTACAATCTCTTTAACAAGAACCACAGACATCTGATTGAAAATTAGAATGATGTAAATTGATGCTATCAGTGTCCCTGATACATATGCAAAAAGCTAGAAAACCATTAATTGAGATACCAAGTTTGTTTGGCTCATAAATTTCGTGGTGACATTGATTTCCTGTTTTATAGTATCTCATTAAGTTTCCACTCCTCTCTAACAGTGTGTAATATAATATATCAATTATTGATACGAATAACTAGATCTCATTATCAATCAATCATTATAAAATCAGGACATGGCACAGTAGGACAGGGTGTAGACTCAAACATCTGCCTCTAATCCAGCTTTTAATTGAAAACGTCTGATTGAAAATTAGAATGATGTAAATTGATGCTATCAGTGTCCCTGATACACATAAAAAATTTAGAAAACCTCTTTACAATCTCTTTAACAAGAACCACAGACATCTGATTGAAAATTAGAATGATGTAAATTGATGCTATCAGTGTCCCTGATACACACAAAAAACTTAGAAAACCTTTTTACAATCCCTTTAACAAGAACCACAGACGTCTGATTGAAAATTAGAATGATGTAAATTGATGCTATCAGTGTCCCTGATACACATAAAAAATATAGAAAACCTCTTTACAATCTCTTTAACAAGAACCACAGACGTCTGATTGAAAATTAGAATGATGTAAATTGATGCTATCAGTGTCTCTGATACACATAAAAAATTTAGAAAACTTCTTTACAATCTCTTTTATTTTTTTTCTTTTTCAGGGAGTGAGTTTTTGTGTTTATGTGCATCCTGCCAGAGCTTTGACAGAAATGAAGGAAAAAACAGCTGCAGAAATCAGTTGACATCTTTTGAGGGAAAGGTTGGCCATTTTTGGGAAGGGTTGATTTGGGTCTTAATTATATGTAAATAGTCTTCAGAAATACTAGAAATGTACGAAAATCACATAATTCCTTCAAAAATATCTCAAACTAGGAATTTTACTCACTATTTCTATATATCACAGATTATCTTAAATTGACGAGTTGTCATTTTAACTTTCAAACGTGGATAATTCTTGAATATATGTAAATAGTCTTCAGAAATACTAGAAATGTACAAAAATCAAATAGTTCCTTCAAAAATATCTTCGTCCAATCAATGTTAAGATGACAATAGCTGGGTGCGAAGTCTAGATGGAATGGCAAACCAGTTTACTCCTAATGGAGGAATAAAATGGGTTTTTTGATTTATTTACTAAAGATGTATATCAAGGGCAATAACTCTATTTATGGTTATGTACATGCGTGTGAAGTTAAAATCTTTTGAACTGTAGCAGGGTTTTTGATTTTAGAAATTCCATACCGGATATTTTAACATGTAAATTAAGAATTTAATAATATTCATCAAGAATGCATGAAACATGCAATCTATATAGCACATTTGCATAAAGATTAAAATTGCAGTCAGTCATTTTGGAGTTCCAATCAGACTTGACTGGTTAAAATGAGACAATAAACCCAAGTCCCTGTGTGCTACAGACTGTGCGTGTTTAAGATCCCTTGACAGTTGGAAATCAAAGTGTAGGCTAATGGTTAGCACCCCCCACTTTTTGTACCTCTACTTTATTGTCGTTCTGATGAGACAATAAACCAAGGGTCTGTGTGCTACAGGCTGTACATGTTAAAGATCCCTCGACAGTTGGAGATTGAAAAAGAGCAGGCTAATGCTGCTGTCCTGGCAAAATTTCCCTCATTGTACACTGCATGGCATAGGTTGTATAAGGGTTAAAGATCCCGACAGTTGGAGATTGAAAAAGAGCAGGCTAATGCTGCTGTCCTGGCAAAATTTCCCTCATTGCACACTGCATGGCATAGGTTGAATAAGGGTTAAAGATCCCTCGACAATTGGAAATCGATAAAGAGTAAATGCAAATGGCA